GTGCTTAAAGAATATCGTGCCAATAATGCCACATCCTGTGAATGTCTGTCCTTTCTTCAGTTTATTCAGTGTCTACCCATTCTACTTTTTCTTCACGGAATCATTTGGCGGTTAGTTGTGCAGAGTGACAGCAAGTCTGGTTTGACTGGCACAAGATGATCTTGGGTTTGAAGTGCTCTGTTGGTATTTCTTGTAGCCGGTTGTACGGGCTCTCCGCCGGACAGCTTGTAAATACCACCGCTTCGTGCAGGGCTGTGGAGGCGGGCTGCCTGGGTTTTGCCAACTGTGTAATTTGAGGCAAGTATTAAAACTTGTGTAAACCTCGCTTTCTTCATCTGTGAAATGGGATGAGAGGGGTCATTGTCATCTCCCAGGATTGTCCTGAGGTTTAAATACAAACGTGTCTATAAAGCGTGTAGCTTGAAGCCTGTTCCTAGCACATGGTAAGCGCTCAGTAATTTTCATAATTTTCTTAGTGGAAATACTCAGAGCTCATAAATTGGCCAAAGATAATTCATCTTTAGCCCTTGAATCAAAGATTTCTTCGGTTTGAACCAGTAGGGTTAATTCATCACTTGAATATCAGCCTCTAGAGTACCTTGAATTTCAAGCCAGTGTAGCCAGGGGATTTCCTAATTGGAGCATTGCCCCTAAAAAAGCTGGTTTCGATCTGTATTCACGCACAGTCCTGGAGCTTTGTTTGTTCCTTTGGTTTCTTCTCCTGAACCCGGCTCTGCAGTGACGTCTGGCACGCAGGGGGTCGTCACATTGCGGCTTCGTTAGCCGCCGAGGGAACGCGATCGCACACTGTAGGAAGTGTGTGTTATCTGCACGCCAGCCGGACCAAGTGAGTGCATCCCTCAGTGGCCAGGGCTCATTCTTCTCAGCTATTCCACCAAACCTCGTCCCGTCTTCCTCTGCTTCCTGTCCGACTCCAAGCTCTATCTGAACAAGGACTCTGGTTCCAGGCACTGCGAGGCCATCTGCGCTCGGCAATGTCCAGCATGTATTAGGTGCTCATTAAATACTTAGCAGGTGAAATCTAGGAGAACACAGAATAAATCTAAAAGTTAAGGTTTAAGCTGTGTGGTACGAAATCTGCATCAACAAAACTTAGTAAATCAGTTTTGTTAATGAAAGTTTAAAATGTTCGAGCAGTTACCTTAGTTCATTCATCGCTTAGTGGGTGTCTTATAGGCTGGGCTTTGGGGATAGAGAGGTGATTATAGCTGATCCCCGCTCTCATGGATGTGCGGTCTAGGGCGGTGGATGCACAGGCGGCTACAGGGTAAATAGGGTGAGTATTATGATGAGGGGGTACACTGTGTGCACTTGGACCACAGAGCAGTTTGTGCTTTATGAATACAGGTAGCAAGTTGAAATGCAGCCGAAATGACTCTTTACATATTCAGGCTTGCGCAGTTGGAAGTGCCTACAGAAGTGCTAAGTAAACTCTTGAATGGCCGTAGTGTGGATCGGTGGCTTTTCCCGGGCTGTCTTTATCTTCCTTCCCAGAGCAGCTTTGCTGCAGGAGTTCGGGGCCCGAGGTTGGGCCAGTGGGTTTTGGCTTTGGCTCTCCTGTTCTGCCATTTTCTGGGTGTTGGGGTGCTGCACTGTGGGTTGGGTTAGATGATGCTTGTGGCCTCTTTTAGTTCTGACTTCAAGACTCATCATCTCAACCGATCTTCCTGGGGAGTGGAGAAAGAACATGGCAACTGAGGAGTTGTTTACCTGCATTTACTGGGACTTTGCAGCGTGATTTTGGGGAACGCCCCGGGAGAAGTGTTGGTGGTCCGTCTGGTGCTCCGCTGTGAGGAGCACGCAGGTGTGTCATTTTCCGTGGTGTTGTAAAAGCTTGGGTGAGGTCAGAGCATCAGTGGAGTCAGTCGGAAGGAGGCAGAGGACTGAGCACTACGGGTGATAGTGGATGCATTTGAAGCGGAATTCACTGAATCTCTTCTGTGAATACATTTTTTGGGGATTCCAGCTTCATGTGATTTCTATGGTTTAAGCCTGGGATACTTAGTATCATCATGTGACATTGAACGCTCTTTGGCCTCTGCTGTAGAAATGTACAGACACCAGCTTCTGAGTTTAGCGGGGGACAACTCCCCAGGTGGCTTAGCTGTGCTGAGAGTTGGGATGACCTCAGACCCATCCGAGAAAGTGTGGTCTCATACGTCGGTTTGGTTCTCTCTCTCAGAGAGCTTTCAGACCCCTCGGAGGAGTGATACAACTCAAGCCCTGGGCTCTGGGGTTGCCCAGCTAGATCACCCGCACTCATGGTGCACTTGGTCAGGAGAACCTGGGAGGAACTCAGTTTTACGTGGCTATTATCAATGGTGGTAATGACTTCTCACATTTGTGTTTTGCTTCATGGTTCACAAAGAAGTTTAAAATCCATGGTCTCATTTTATTCTCTCAGCAGTTCTGTGCAAAAGGTGGGTGGGTTTTCACATCTCTTGTCTTTCTGGTGATTTTACTGGGGCTCCCAGAAGATCAGGGACTTAACCAAGGGCTCTCAGGTATGGCATGGTGACCTTAGTTAGTAATACTGTTTTGTATATTTGAGAGCTGCTAAGAGAGTAGATCTTAAAAGATCTCATTACAAGGAAAGGAGATCTTGTGACTGTGTGATAAGGGATGTTGACTAGATTTATTGTGGTGATCATCGGCGATACATACAAATATCAGATCATTATGTTATACACCCAAAACTCACATAATGTAGTGTGTCAATTACACCTCAATTTAAAAAATAAAAAATAAAGAAGGGGCTTAACCAAGGTCACACACCGAATTAGGGTGGCCCTGTATCTTCCTCGCCGCTCCACCAGGGCTCCATGCTCTGGTTGGGACAGTGCTACGTTTAGTCTCCTCTAAACCCCTCACCCATTTGGGGAGGAGTTCTTGGGGGCATTCTGTTCAGTTTGGAGGCTTTAGATATCCCACCCTCTATTCCTGCCTCCAGATGCCCGGACGTCCCTGAAGCCCCCGGTCGCCCCTGTGCTTGGGGGCCTCCTCCGCCTCCGCGTGGTACGTTTCTTAACCCCTGTGAATGAGCTCTCACGCTACAGGGACTGTGTCTGCCTGGCCCCCACACTCTGAGCTTCACTTACTGTTCAGATCTGATCGCTTCCTTCTAGAAATGGGATGTGCTATGTGTGCTAGGTTCTTTTTTTTTTTTTTTAAATTCAAGCTAGTTAGAGCCATGGCTGAAATAGGTAATAGCAATGAGTGTGCTACTTTAAGACTGTGGCTGGGTGGCCTCCTTTCCCCGTGTGAGCTCCTCGAAGGTGTGGCCATGTCGTGTCCCTCCGTGTTGTCACCACAGTGGCTGACTTGGCATCGGGGCCATGGAAATTCAAGTAAGGCCAGCAGAGGTATTGCGTCTGGAAAACGACAAGCAAGCTAAAGGAATTTTTACTTAAGATGTTTGCAAAAGAATATTTTAGAGAGTTGACCTGTTTCTCAGTTGGAGTTTAATTTCAGCTCAGAAAGCAGCTGGGTGCCTGAGGGCTTTGGGGTTTCACTGTGTGACAGATGAATTTAATTGTTGTTGTATGACTGTATTATCCTTTTGTGGCTTTCGTGGACCTTTCTCCCAAATGGAAACACCATAGATTTTTCTATGAAAGTCACACTTGCTTTTTGAGAAGCGTAACAGTAATTTTGTGGAATGATCTCCTGTTCGTTTAACCCCAAAGATTACCTGCTGAGAAGCAAACACTCTGCTTTTGGCTCTGGGGAATGCAGTCTGGTTTCTGCCTCCGCGGCCGAAGGGCAGCGAAGCAATTCTCAAAGCCAGAGAACAAGATGCGTGTGTGCATCGTGGAAATTCTCGAATGCTATTTCAAGTCTCTACGTTGGGATTTCTGTCGAATTTTAGGAGCTAAGCGGGTATGTGCACGTTACGGTGTGGAGGGAGAAGAGCGGTGTTAACAAAGGGACACTCTGCTTCGGTCTGCTTTCTCCCCACCGACTGGCTCTCGGACTGCGACCAGGCCTCACAGGGTCACTGAATGCCCTGCCTTCTCTGTTTGGCTTCTGTCGAAGGGTTTTTGCCAGTGAGCTGGTATATGTGAAGGTGCTTTGTGCTTTTAAATTTTGGAAAATTTCAAGCCTGTATGTGTTTTGGAAACATATGTAATTATTTTGGAAATATGTTTAATTTAGTCATTTTCTGGGTATTTGGCACACTTTTAATACTGCCCAGATGTAGCATCTAAAACCTTCATTTCCTGGGAATACCCCTGGAATAAAGTTCACTAGACTTGCTGAGGGGGAGATAGGAGTATTTGGTCAGGGAGAATTTTGCTCATCTTGCGTGAACAGGTTAGGGTCTCGTTTACATCCTCTCAAAGCCCCTAAAATTTATATATTTATCTTATAAAAATTATCTCCACAGTTTAAGTATTTTCTGTGGCCAAACATGGTTCTGAGAATGTCACAGACATGAAATCATTAAATTCTCATTACAGCCCCAGGAGGATTGTGATGCTACTCTTTGGATCCTTATCGTACAGATAAGGAAACTGAGGCCCAGGGAAACTGAAGCAACTTGCCCGAGGTCACAGAGCTCTCGCGTGGTAGTTCTGGGGTTGCAAGCCAAGTCTCAGTCCCAGAGGCCTTCTCAGACCCCCTGCTAGAAGGCTGCCTCCTGTCACCCCCATACCTTACTCACGATCTCTTCTTCGAGTGAGCCGCACGCCCTCTGAGCTCTATGGGCCTATGTCTGTCTTATTTACCGCCGTATTGCCCGGGCCTGAGCCTGCACATAGTAGGCATTTGTGGAATGATGATGTGAGGGGTTTCTGATATTAGCATCTTATCATTAAAATTCTTGTACATCTGTTTTCTCACCTGACCCTTAGAATTGTGAGGCAGGCCGTGTTTCCCTCCGCTTTTACCATAAGGAAATGATGTCGTAGAGTCAGGGATTGAGTTCTGGGTCATGTATCTCCAGTTCATACATGTTTTGTTTTGTTTTTACCTTTTAGATTCTTCTGAAATTCTTTCTTTGGTGAGGATCATCAGAAGGAAGCACAGGTAAGAAGATTTCATGATCTTCCAATTCAGTGGCATTAAAAGAAATTAAACTGTCTCAGCAGGAGCCATTACACTGTCTGCTGGGGGTGCTCGGAATAGAGGTCTTTGCATTAAAACCAAGATAGTGCCTGCTTATATCCATGTCAGAGATGAAGTCTGACGATCTGGCTTATTTGGTTGGGGGAAAAGCTGGAAATCCTGAGGACATAGGTGGAGTTTTCATCCCTGCTCTTCACCCAGGACCGCCCATCCCACAGTGGCTCTCTGGCATCCTCGCCAGCCCCGCTGAGCTCTCTCCCTGGCCTGTCTTCTTATGGCATTTGTGAATATTAGAATTCCCCTGTGTCGGGCGCCTGGGTCGCTCAGATGGTTAGGCATCTGCCTTCAGCTCAGGTCATGATCCCAGCGTCCTGGGACCGAGTCCCACATCGGGCTCCCGGCTCGGCGGGGAGCCTGCTTCTCCCTCTGACCCTCTCCCCTCTCATGCTGTTTCTCTCTCGCTTGCTCTCTAAAAAAATAAATAAAATCTTTAAAAAAAAAAAAAAAAGAATTCCCCTGTGTCTAATCTGAAAATTGTCATCATGCAAAACAGAGCTTTTAGGAGCGTGTGACACACCTCCCCACTCGTAAAGGAAATACATGTTCATTGGGGAGCGTTTGGAAATAAGAGAGGATAGAGAAGAAAATAAGTCTCACCAGCAGACATCAGCACTATGAACGTTTTGGCCTCGTGCAGAAAAGTGTTACCACGGCAGGCCAGAGACTGCCATCCTCTGGGAGGCCTGCTTGCAAGCTTGGCCCTTGGCTGGTGTCTGGAACTTTGATGTGGGGACGGTTCCCACCACCCTGACTGGTGAGAGCGGCTCGCCGAGCCTGAGCTCTTTGTGCAGACAGCACGGTTCGTGCCGGCACACCCGAGTTCCTCCCGGAGCCTGACTAAGGGGGCCCATGTGTCCAGTCCCCAGTGAAAACCCTGATGCGGGGTCTCTAACGGACTTCCTGGTGACAGCGCTTCACATGTGCTGTCCTGCGTAACTGCGAGGGAGAGGACCCCGCAGGTCCCCAGCTGGTGTCCTCCGCTCCCTATGCCTTTCCTGCTGCTGCCTGTGCTTTGTTTCTTCTCGCCGTGATAAGTCTAGCTCCGAGTCTGCCTGTGTGCTGAGTCCTCCTGGCCAGCATCGAACCTCGGGGCTGGGGCTGGGGCAAGGTCTTGGAGACCCTTGACTAAGGCCTATTCCTTTTCTTTTTCTCAGCATAGATTTTTTTCTTTTTTTCTTTTTTTTTAGTAAAATGGGTGTTACATCTGTCTGAGATCTCTTTTTTATTCCACAAATATAAATGAGCATTTTGTCACATCATGAAATACTCTTTCAAAACACGATTTATACTTAAATTATACCTGAAATGTTTATGTAATGTTGGATGTTTGGGTTTTATAGTTTATAGTGCTATTGTGGGTAACGAAGACCCTTGTTTGCAGAACTCAGTGTGCATGTCAGCGCAGGTTGTTCTTGGGGTGGGGTGACAGAGGGTATGGTGGTGTGGCTGATCTTGGCAGACGCCTTCAACTCTCCTTCAGAGAGGTGGTTTCCATTGGTACGGTTCAGCCGTGCTCAAGGCAGCCGCCTCACCGAGTCCTCACCAATACTGAGTATTACCAGTCAAAGCAATTTGCCAATTGGATAAATAATAGATGGTATCATTTTAATTTGCATTTATAAAAAAGATTTATTTGTTTATTTGAGAGAGAGAACACGCGCAGAGTGAGAGAGAGCAGGAGCAGGGTGGGGGAGAGGCAGAGGGAGAAGCAGGCTCCCTGCTTGGTGGGACTTGATCCCAGGACCTTGGGATCATGACCTGAGCTGAAGGCAGACGCTTAACTGACTGAGCCACCCAGGTGCCCCTTAATTTGCATTTTTCATTATTAGTGAGGTTTGAGTGATTGATTTTCTTTTCTGACTTGCCTGCTCATGTCTTTTGGATTAACAGTTTCCCATCCTTTGCCCAGATATTTTGTGACTATTCTGGGCCGGGATAATGACCTCCCAGGGCAAAGCCTTGTATCCTCACTCTGCCATACCCACCCCAGGCCTCTGGCATGGTGTGCATTGAAGAAGTGGGCTTTCCTTACGGCGGGAAGCATGACATCCGTTGCCCATTGATGAGGTGCATCCTTAAAAGAAGGCCCCGATGTGTGTGCTGGAATCGATATGCACCATGGGAAGGATGCCACGGCATCCCACGGAGGATGGGGATAGCAGCAGCTATTTCTGTGGGGGAGAGTGGCAATGAGGGGCCTCTGTTTGTTTATCACTCTCCGTAATGGTATGAATATCTCCACCAGGACGTATCCATGTCTTTCTCATGAAATAGAAAAAGACTCAGAATGTGAAAACCTTAATAAGCCAACTAACCCCATGTGATTGCAAAAGCAACACGGGATGGTCGTGGGGACACAAAGGCACAGAAGGATTCTGTCCCTGTGTGCCGAGTCCCTGCTCGAGGAGGAATCGATCACGTGGCATGTTCGTGTCTACCACGACGACTGCCAGTTCTTTCCGGCTGCTGGCCGAAAACACGGCTGCACGTGGGACAGGGCGGGGAAGGGGAGCCGGCAGCCAGGAGCTGTGTTTGTGTGACAAGCTGACCCTTCACCTTGACTGTTTAGAGGAGGTGGCAGGGAAGGTGTCTCACGGAGGAGGGGCGTGCAATCGCTACGCCCGCTCAAGGCCCTGGGGGGGTTCCGTGGTGATGTAGACAGTATCTCACTTGTGTGTGCGCAAGGCTCCTTGTTTGCACACCCATGGCAGCGCTCTGGACGGCTGGGTAACATGCTGATAGCACTGGTTGCCCCAGAGGAGGGGCTGGATCGGGGGTTAGAGTGGAGGGAGAGTTTCCCTGTTTGGCATAAATCTGAGTTCATTTTATTATTTATTGCATCGTTTTATTACTTAGTGCATCTTTTTTTTTTTAGATTTTATTTATTCATTTGAGACACAGAGTTAGAGAGAGAGCATGAGCAGGGGGAGAGGCAGAGGCAGAGGGAGAAGCAGGCTCCCCGCCGAGCCAGGAGCCCGATGCGGGGCTCGATCCCAGGACCCTGGGATCACGACCCGAGCCGAAGGCAGACGCTCAACCATCTGAGCCACCCAGGCGCCCCTATTTAGTGCATCTTAATTATGTTTACACTTTAATAACATTTGTAACGGCAGCGATATTTACTTTTGAAAATTTGAAAAAAATGCAAAATAACCTGTGACCGTGGACTAGCTAGCTATTCAGCCTTTCCGTGCCTCGGTTGCGGAGTGGTATGGTACCGATCTTATGCGGTTGTCCCAAGAGTTCAGTGAGATAAAACTCAGAGCCCGGCACCTTCCGAGTGCATAATAAATGCTATTATTTCAACATTTTAGAAGAAAGAGAATACTAACAGGTCATCATGGTTTCTGTCGTGTAAATACCTCCGGGCTGTTGTAGAAAGAACCTGAATTCAGCTCCTTGTAAACAGTGTGATGGAAAAGCATAATTTGGGCATCAAGAGACTCCGGCTGTGAATGGGGCTCTCTGATTAGCATGCCGTCCCAGCAGCTCCTTGTTCCTCCCGTGTGTGATGGGAGCCATAGCACGTTCCTGTTGCAGGGCCGTGGGAGCCTTCCAGGGCCTGCAGCAAACTGGGAAGCGGGGGGCGATGGGGAGGGGCAGGCAGATGTGGGAGCAGAATGCTTCCAGAGAACCCAGTGCGGTCTGTCCTGTGCGGAGAGAAGGCTCCTCCTCTGTTCCTTACCACCTTCAAGGAAAGCAGGCCGGCGGAGGAATCCACCCCTCGGACGGCCCGACAGCCCCACTGTGCGGTGTGTGCTTGTGGATTTGGCCCCATTGTCATGGCTGCAGCGGCAGAAGGGACAGCTCGCCTCGATTTGCATATCTGGGGGTGTGTGCTATTTATAAACAGAAAAGGCGTGGAAGACTGTTTGTGGCAAGCTGGCAAATCTGGCAAAACGGATAGTTCCGTGAGCACGGTTTGCACGAGCGCGGGCCCCGAGCATCCACATAAACAGACACATTTGCCCGTATTTAAGAGTCCCTCTTAAAAACAGTCAGCCGTCGGCCATATGGTTGATCAGCTTTTCCTTGAAATGCAGCGGGTTTGGTGCCCAGACGTCTGAAATCTGAAACCATCTTAAAACAGTTTTATGCCCCCTCCCTCTTTATTTCCATTATGAAGAGAGAAGAATGGAGGGAGGACAGTGTCACTTTACAGTGGCTCTCGTCACTGTCCTCTTCCCTGCTGACCTGGCACAATGTCAGCATCACGGCAGGCCGGGTGGAGATGTTCTTTCTCCCCTCCTCCGCGGCACGCTTCCGTACGGCATCTGTCACTCCCTAGTGTTCGGTTTGTCCGTGCGCACCAGCACACACATGGGCTCCCCGAAGGCCGGGTTATTGTCTCGAGTCGCTGCTCCGCCCCCCGCCCCGGCACAGCGATTAGTATTTGCTGAGTGAACGGGCGGGGTGAGACGGCCGTGTCATGAAAAATGCTTGTGGAAAAAGCTGCGTGAGCAGGGAGTGGGGGACTGTAGGCGGGGAGGCCACATGGGTCCCTGCGGGATGACTCATCGGCCCAAATACTTAACCTGGAAGAAGGTGCGGGTCTTGAGTAGAAATGTGCAGACCACTTCCTCGGGAAATCAGCAGGTGGTCACAGCGTTACACACAGGTGAGCAACGCTGCCCCGTGTGTGTGTGTGTGTGTGTGTGTGCGCACGCGTGTGCCGAGGGCTTTTATCCTGGTGCAGGTAGAATATAGAGCCCGAGGCACAAGAAAGCGAGCTGCCCAGCATCACCTGGGTGGAGTGGGACCAGAGCCTACCTGTGTCCTTCCCAGAGCCTTTCAACTGCTCACCTCACCACCCTCTCTCCTGCTCACACCGTCTTCCTCGACTCTGAATATGCAGGAACGGGGGAGAAAATGTACCCCAGCGCCACAGGCACAGAGAAAAA